TATGTTATTTTTGATTGCTGTTTGTTCAGTAGTGTTTTCAGTTGTCCAATTTATTTACTTTCAATTTTGGTTTTGGTTCATTTAACCTTCAGAAAACATTTGTGCTGCCTGCTGCTTGCAAAAGGCAGGTTCTAGCAGCCCATTGCTGCATTTATCTCTTGCTCTTGAGCTATGATGTCTGCAGTAATAAATGTATCCTTTTGCAACAGAAGTGATTAAGTTCTTGTTGAAATGTCTTCTGGAACAAAACATTAGCTTTTGCTTTCAAAGGGCAGATATTGCTGCAGACAGCGCTTAACCTGGCCAAGGACAAAGTGTTATGTTTAACCATCATTACTTTTCTGCTTGCCTCTATGAAACAGCAAGGATATCTGCAGTCAAGCACTTCAGTTTCTTAATACACAAAACCAGGTATCTACACAGAATTGAAAGCAGCCTGATTTTGGAAAACTCCTCCCCATCCTATCTCTTTTTTTTTTTTTGTGTGTGTGTGTGTGATTTTGAACTTATTTAAATTTGAAAGGTGCAATAATGGGGAAAAGAATTAGGCAGGCATTGGTATCTATGTACTAGACCTTTTTTTTTTTCAGAGGAATTGACCAAGCAGACTATACATTTTAGAACTAAAACACGATTTGACAATGTTGCAGTAATTCCAGTTTGTCCAGCTCAGAAATTCTAGGAGATTTCACACAGATACTCTGTTCTTGAAAGTATGTTGTATTTGAGAGCATTGATTTTCAATGCTGATGTATATCACTAAAACTGTATGGATCCTCATTTTTCAAAACACCTGGAGAAAAAAAGCTCTAGAGCAAAGGATGGAGCATGGAGAATATTTTGGTTTCCTGCCACATTCAAGCAAAGACAACTTGGACTCAGTCCATCTTTTGTGGTGTGTATGCACAATGCACAACAGAGCTCCTCCCAGCACAGCGGAGGTTCCCATGCGGAGTGGAACCTTCTAAATGCCAATGCAACAAATTAATAAGAACTGCTCAATTCAGTGATAGTAATCAATTATATGTATATATAAAATGTGGTGACATGCAGCTCTTCTGATTATTCTTCTGAAAAACAGAGCAGTTATATTTTTCCAAAGAAAATATCTTCTGGAAATGCAAGGTTACATGATGGACACAATTCAACAGTCCAGTAAATACTCCCAGGTACTTCCAAAAAAGCACTGAGATTTTGAAAGCACTTAAACTGGTCAGGTTCTTAATTCTCATGTGATTTCAATGCAGCTTATGCCCTTAGATACATGATTATCCTATCGAACACTAACTTTACATAGCACCACTATTATTATTACTATATTATTCTATAAGAATATGAACTCTAGAATTCATCCTAGTTACTCAGCAGCAGGTAGTAATTTCTGCCTGGCCACCTCTCAAGCAACATAATAATGAAACAAATAATTTTAGAGCGCAATTTGTCAACTGAACACAACAGCTCTAAGAAATCGCTTGTAAGGAGGCAGATATATCCACTTTTAAAGAAGCAATTCAGATGAATCATTCATGCCTGCTGTCTGTAAAAAGCACACTGGGCTAAAATCTTTAAAATGGCTTGTTGAGAAGACCAGAATAGTCATTGCAAGTTATTGGGTTGGCAAGGCCAATCTGAGATCTAGGTTCATTTCTGCTAGTGATGGGAGATGTTTTAAACTAGGAAACACAGATCTCAACTTCTTAAACATGGATAAAAGATACACACAAAAATGACAGAGGTATTCAGCTCTGTTTCTTGAGCTTTCTTATAGAAAAATTCTAAGTGATTTCCATGAAACATTAATACTTAAATGAATTAACTTATTTTTACAAGTGAATTTTATTTAACAGAGATGACTGAAAATAGAACACCTACCATTTTATCTTCCTCCTAACCTCACAAAATATAAATCATCCGTCCTGATCCAATGCACAACGTCCACTGGAAAGTCCATCCAAGATGCACTGGCCTACACAACACAATGGCTCTTTAAAAGGTCACGGAGCACTTCACTTTTTTCCATCATAGGCAAATTTTGTGCCTTTTCACTAGGTCTGTTTTCTGCTGTTTGGTAATATTTCAAAGAGTAAAACATTTTAATTATGCCACTCTATAATCAAGACTATAGCGGAGAAAGTTATTACCTTCATTTAGAGCAAAACGGGATCATTAATGGAAGAACAACATGCACACAGGGATTACAGTGCCCAAGCAGCTGGAATACCGATGCTTACTCCTGCTTTCAGGTTGGTCAGGAATACACCTGGTTTCACTAAAAGAGGTTAAGTGCATCAGGTCTTCATTAAGAAGGGGATTACTAGATACAGACATATTTCCTCTGCACATACGCGTTTACTATATTTATAAAGCTGCAAGTACTACAGCAAACAATACATTTACCTCATATCCTCTGCAAGCTCTTGTCCAGAATATGTACAGTGCCTATACGCAAATCCGATGGTGAAAGAGATTCCCTATTTGCCAGCAGGTCTCTACAGAGCTGACAGAGGTCACAATCATGAAAACTTTGTAAGCATGCAAACACAATTCAGGCTCTGCATTTTTATCTCACTGCACTGCAGAATGTAACAAATGCAGAGAATCTTCCTTGATCTTACACTTAAAGGCTTTAGCATTATGCACTCGGCTACATCACCAAGATCAAACATTCAGGCCTGTCCCGAAAACCGCCACCTGCCTCAGAGCCAACCTGCTTCAGAGCATGTCACCCACTGCCCTTCTCCAGAACACAGGTGATAACTGCATGGGGATAGGGAGATTTTGCACTTAGGAGGAAAAAAAAACAGTAGTTGTCTTTCAATTTCCAAAATAATGCTTTTTGAAAGAGCTTTGTAAAAAAAATATAGTAATTTTGACATTATGCCTTTATATAGGTACCATCGAATAAGCGTTCAAATGGTTCCAATATGTTTTGATAGAAGCAGTATCACATTGTTAGAGAGACTCAGTAGAAAGCCCAGAGCATCACCACAGCCCTGCAAATGGTCAGTGATCCCAAAGGTAACAGACTTGAAGGCTCTGAAGACATTCTCATTTTACTTTTAATATAGGCTTATGTGACCAGTGCCATTCTAAGAAAAAAATCTTGAAAAAAAAGTTATTAATTTGGAAATGTCTCGGCAGTGAATTTAAAATAATACCTAAAAAGTTTTTATTTTAACTGTGTTTTATTTTTGTGTAAGGTTTTTTTTATTTTCTTGAATCTTGTTATGTATTTAACTATGCCCAATAAATTGAATGTGTTTGAGCTTTAGGCAGTCTATTCATGATGCACAAGGCTGATAAATCTTGCAAGACTGGAATACAAAGGTGAGCACAAAAAGACTTTTTCCATCCCATTCTGGATTACAGCTATTGTCTCTGATGAACAGGGAACTCTGAAGAAGTTTTTGAATAAGCTTTTATCTATTATCTTAGAAATTCATTTAACATTTTAATTGCTTTATTATTGTCAGTTCTCACCTACACACTTCTATTAAGGCCTATTGGTGCAAAATACAGAAATGTGTATCTTAGGGTATTGCTATAATTCTTCTCCTCTCTTGATTTCTTCTTACAAATCTTAACCTTAAATTTTAGTTACAGACTTACCTGAGAAAGCTGATTAATAGAAACAAGGAAACAAGTTATGGAGTTGACTTTTATCTCTTCTTCTCATTTTCTATAAGCATTTTACATTTTTCTATAGATTTTTTTAAACTCTTCTACCACCACCACAACCAAAAGACACATTGCTGAAAATGACCTAGTGTAGACTGCAGTTACGTAATTCAGGATTTGGTTATTCAGGATGTGCTTACTTCACTGGATACCTGGCTTTCGTAGTGCATTTCTGTTTTCTAAGACAATAAACAGATTCTGTTTCTGCTGTGAATACACAGCTTTACAGCCAGAACATGCTGTTGTGAGGATAACAAACACGCACGTAAAGTTGGCTTTGTCCTACAGCAAGCATTGCCTCCAGCATACTCATTTTGGGGACAAGCTACTGAAAATAAACTAAAGCAAAGTGCAAATACAGACTAATCACATTCATCTAACACTCTAAATTGTTGCGCCTTTTAGCAGTATTTATTAGTAG